TTACGTAACGGCGGGAGGGGTGGGGGGAAAGGAGGGTGGGACGGAGCGGGGATGGACAGACGGACAGACTCACCGCGGGGCAGCGCCGGGTCCCGGGAGCGCTTCGCCGCAGGGACGCGGGGGAACGGGACACGCGGGCCGGTCCCGCACGGCCCAAATTCTTGCCCCCGGGTGCGGGGTGGGGGGGGAAGGAAGAGGGGCTGCACCACCCCCCTCTCACGCGAGCTCCCTCCGCCCGACTCCGGGCAGCCCCGGCCCTGCCTCTCCCGGGGAGCCCCGCCAGGTCTGGGCAGGGAGATGCGGTAAACAACCTGTTTCCAACGAGAAAATCATCCCCCTCGGAAGAGGAGGGAGCGGAGCTGCCCCGGGACAGCCCCCAGGGCTCCCGGAGAAGCCGCCTCCTGCCCCGAATGGTGCATCCTCACGGAGGAGGCGAGACTGGCACCAGGGATGGGGGGGGGGGAGCAGAGGAGAAAAGCTGAGCCTATTTAAAATGCAGAGCCCCAAACCAGTGCAGTCTCACCCCAACTGGCCTCTTGCAGACGGCGATGCAGCTCCCGCTCTGCTAGAGCTCCCCGGGGCTCTAAGCAGTAACCACGTATCAACCCACACCTCGACCCAGGGGGGCTGAGAGGAGGTAGGGGACAGCTCTGGCTTCCCGGGGGACAGACATGACCACGCACAGCCCTGCCCAGCCACCTTCTTAGCAGCAGAGACCTGCAGAGCTGGGACCCATGAGTAGTCTGATGCTTCATCATCCTCCCACCATCCACCCCCCACCAGCTCTTGAGAGTCAACGGGGTGACCAAGAGGCAGGACCCAGCCATGAAAGGGCTTTGCGGACAGAGTCCTCACCCCTGTCACCAGGCAGGACTCAACCGAGCAGCACGGTGAAGTTCAGACTTGCTATTGCAAGTCAACAAGGTGGAACGGGAGCTACCAGCCCTGCTGGGGCAGGAGAGCAGCCTCCCCCCCCTTCCCCAGCTGCCCAAGCTCACCCGTGGCCACAAGAGCATCGCGACTTTGCAAGAACCCACGAGAGGAGTTGAGTGTTCAGGCTTTAAAACTTTATTCAAGCAGACAGCAGGTAACCCAGAAACACAGTTAGAGCACCCCCACCCCAGTCGGACGCCAGCACCCAGCACGGCATCCTGACACCCCAGTAGTCACGGTCGTGCTGCCGAGCCAGGAGCCAGGCTTTGTCTTTCTCTGCTGGCTGCAAAGCGCATGTTTTTAAGTCTGACATCAAAATGCATGCAAAGTCTACCATGAGGACTCCCAGACAGCAGCTCTTAAATGCCATCCAGAGAAGTGTCACCGGGAAGCAGTAACACAGAGAGGGTTGTACACGTGCCTCAGAGACAGCAGGGTACTTAGGGAAGAGCAAGGAGTTGCACGAGCCTGGGCTTCCTGATGAAAATCCATCCCTCCAAGCCCGTGAGCGCTGAGGCTCAATAATTGGGCTGGGAGCTTTCCCTTGCCCATTCCTGGTGGTGGCCCAGGTCTCTGCACCAGGTCAACAGCGTTCTTTTCCCCTCAAGGGCTACTGCTGGAGCTCAGGTCACTCGCTGGCTTTAGGTTTCAAATGCCAGATCAAACTGCTCGCAGAGCGCACGGCCGGGGACAGCCAGCCAGCTGCTTTTTGGGAAGAGGCAGCACAGATCAGCAGGTGTCAGACAGCAGCAGCCTTCAGCTCCAGGTCAGGGAGCAGAGGGGCACCACGAGAAAGGTGCCACTGATCTCCCCCCCTCCACACAGCACCTAAGACTGGAGTTGGGCAGGATACACCCCCATCTAGAACGGGGACCTGAGTCCTCCAGACAGCAGTCAGCCCCCAAGGCCTACTACATTCACCTTTAATTCCCCAAGTCTTCACAACTGATTTGAAGGAAGTTCACTAAATCGCAGAGCACACAGTCTAACTAAGCCTAATTTCCACTAAACATTCAAAGCACTAGAGGCAGACTAGGAGGCAGGAAGCCACTTCAAGACAGCACAGCTATTTGAAACAGTTCACCCTACGGAGAAGGTAAGAGTCTAGAGAAGTACATAACAGACCAAAGTTTGTATCTGCATCACCACAGGAGAGTGGGAAAAAAAGTAGGACTGCCGCAAATTGATCCGTGTTAGATACTAACCATCAAGCTTTGCAGATGACATTGCATGATAAGCATAGAACAATTATGGGAAACACTGTCCCCGATAATTACGTACACCCATAGTGCAACATATGGAGGTCACTGCCTCCGATATAACACTGTGGTAGGCAAAAACTACCTTGTTCTTTACACATTATGGGAGACACTGCTCCCGATAATGTCAGTTAGGTTTCACGATACCTAAGGTACTGGAAGTTTGCAGGAAGCTGCCATTTTAAAAAAAAATTAAAATAAAATAAAAATAAAATCGGGCCAATGCCTAATCCAAAGTACAAGAAGTTTGTGTGTGTTGCTGTGAGTGGAGTGAGGGCTCCACATCAAGCCCCTCCAGCGGGGCCAGAAAGGAAGCTGTGCTCCCCATGCGAGTGCACAGCATCCAGAAAAGGAGGGAAGAGAGGGAGTCTGAAGCCCACGGAGGCACAGACACCGCAGGGAAGCCAAATTTCTAGTATTTTGAGTTTTCACCCAGGTTTTCGTTATGTCAAGGATGATTTTGGAACAAAACCTGGAGACTTGCTACCAGGTTTACACCTCTAAGTTTCTTCCAGAGGCGTGTTTTTGCCACAGAAAGCTTAATTGCTAGTTTTCAAAGACTTTTTTTTTTGGAGGGGCCTGTTTAGATTATTTTAAATGCAAAGTTCCAGTATCATATTTGATTGTAATAGCAGATGCTGCTTTATTCAAAAACGACAGTATAACTGTCATAATTATGGAAGGCACTGCTTCCGATAATTATCTTCTATAAAAAAACATACCATTTATAGTGAACGCTGTCACTGATAAATAAATAAACAAATAAATATCTCAGTGCCAAACAAGAGCCATCAAAACGGCATCAGTCAAACAGGGTTTGTCCAGCAAGAGACTCAATTTCACAAAAGGCCCCAGAGCAGCAAGGTCTGAAGTGTCAGTCTAGAGCCATTTCTCAACGTCACAGGACTCCCTGAGGTGCCAGCTAAGGATATAAAGGGGGCATTAGATAATCTTTGGGTCATTTTCCCTGGGTATTGAGGCAGAAGCAAGCCTTCAAGATGTCATTGGGACCCTGCTGTTGAGTAAAGGCAGGCCGGACACTTCAGAGCTTGCTGATAATCAGCACTTGTGGGCTGTTACCATGTTGTTTTATTTTTGAACTACAGGTTGGCCTCTGTAGCTCCCTGCCAGAGAAGGGATCCTCATTACAAGCGTTAAGAGGAATCCGTTCCTTATCTTGTCACTAGGTTTGGGGGGCAAACAATTAAAACTCTAAATAGATGAGGTACCTCCCCACTCAAGGTACCGGTTCAGGAGTCACCCAAGCTGTTATTTCTCAAGTACACTGGAGAGCAAGCCCCACAAGCAGCTGTATGTGACCGGTTTAGACTGTGGTCAGACGGGAGCCTGGCCAGAGGAGATTTCATGGTAATCTTAGTACCTGCTTTAAAACTGCCTCCTGTGAATTTGTCAAGGTGAAATTTAAATTTTATGCTCAGCTTTGGTCAAAAAAATTTGTTGCCAGAAAATCTACAGGAAAAAATTATGCCATGTTAGGGAGTGGGTTTCCCTAATCCTGTACCTTTACCAGGTGTTTGCCGTGTCTAGAATTCGTTGTCTGTATCCCAGATATCACCCACTAAGGCATTGGCAGCTCCTTTAATGGTCCAGGTCACCAGGGCCAGCTGCTCTCTCAGCATGTTCACGTCCACGCTGTCCCTGCTGGTTTTCAGCAGATGCAGGTTCTCCAGCAGGCTCTGCAGGGTGTGGGAACCTTTGCCGAAGAAGATGTGGCGAAAGGGAGCATCTTTTGGCGAGAGGTACGGGGAGAGGAAGTCATACTCCACCTGCAGCAGAGATGCAAATTTAGGGTTGTACTCTCACCTGCCAAGTTTTTCTTCCCTAATCTGCTCCATCGGGAGCTCCCAACCTCTGATCCTCACCCAGCCCTTTCCTGCAGCAGCTCTGCAAGGGCCAGACCCTCTCCTGACAGCAAGCGCAGGAGTCAATCCCGTTGACACTAAGCAAGCAGAAGAAGGACCAGTCTGCACAGTGCCCGTGGCTCCTAAAAGGGAGAGGCCCGTCCCAGGCAGCGCTCTCTTCCTTCGTGAGGAAGGGAAAAACCAGTTGTAAATACCCACCTTCATGATCCTGTCATTCAGGGCTCTGCGGATGATCTTGTTCTCCCTGTCGCTGTTTGCGATGTCTCCTCTCAGTGCATCTATAGCTCGCTGGAAGTCACCACGGGCAAAAAACAGCCAGTTCAAGGTCAGCCCCAGCGCCTGCGAGGGAGGAGCTGTTAGCAAACCTGATTTTCTTCTTTTGCTGCTCTCTAACCAAGTGAAAGTGTTATGTTAGGTTTTTTTTTTTTTTTTTTGCCAGTTTAACCAAGTAGCAGAGCGAGTTCCTGGCAGGCTCTTCTGAGGTCACTGAGCCCAGTGACGTGTCTCCCCACCCACAGTTTCTTCTAGGCTTTCAGCAGAAGTGCAAATGAGATGCAAAGTGCTGTGAATGATAACTAGAGGAGAAAACAAGAGCTCACCACAGCCAGATTAGCTAAATCTGTCTGCCACGGGTACTCTGCCTGCACCTATAAAGGAACCTAAGCTGCATCTATAAAGGAACATCCATTCAGGTCACATCTTGCTACACTCTCGTGCCCCAAGGAGGAAGATGTCCACCCTGCTGTAGCCAGAGGCACGTGGCCCCATAACAGTCTACAGGGATCCAGTGCACTCAAAGACTTTCTTACCCTCACATCCTGATCATAGGGCAAGAACTTCTCCTGGAACGCTAGCAGTTCATCACCATATCTCTCAAAGTCCAGGAAGAGCTCATGATCATGGGTCAGCCTGAGAGCTATTTGTCCAGCAACTTCTGCAGCAGCACGCATAAGAGCATACAAGTTGTCAGTCGCCTTCAGGTTCTCCACAGTGTCCTGAGTAGTGCCCAAGAAGGGATATTCCTTATCTTTCTGCAAGAAAGAAGGCATTAAGGTTAGGGAAGAATGCTTCTCCAGCTAGGATTTTACAGTTTGCTCCCACTACAATTTGCTTGCTACTTCCACCACATTCCACCTTCTCGTGCTACTAAGTAGAGAGACTGGAGGGGCAAAATTTCAAAGCAGAGAGGAAGGGAATGGAGGTCCTGCATCTTGTCCCTCAGAGTTTCCAACAATCAGCAGCATGCTCTGTTAGTTTGTTAAACCCAAAGACTTATAGACCTTCCCTCCCCATCTCATAGCTCACTGCAGAAGTGCAGGCAGGCAAACACCAGCACCCAGTTTGGTATGTGCTGGCAGGACCCTCCAACCCTTCTTGGCAGGATAACTCAAGTTTTTTATGGAACAAGTCTGACACTAAAAAAATCCAGGCATTCATAAGCAGAGAAAGCCGTTACCAGAAAGGCTCACAGCTTGCACACCTGCAGTAACAGAGCAGGCAGCCCCAAGCTGCAGCAGCAGCCCTGACCAGTCTGAGTTAGTACTCGCTCTGCCAGCGGTGCTGCTTCCCCAATGTGCTCTGCTTGCTGACCAGCAGGCTGTGGCACAATCTTTCACTGGAGCAGCAACAGCTTGACGTCTTTTTAGTGCTTTTAGCTTCTGAATCACTGACATCTGAACCTCCAGAAGAGCAAGTGTCCCCTCTCCCAGCAGAACAAGAGCACTCAGGACTCTGGAACAGAGACTGCAGACCAACCATGCCCCAGGAGCAGCCTTTGCAGCACGTACTGCCACAGCCACCAGGTCCAGAGGCTCCTCCCCAAGAGAGGCTTCTGCATGGACAATGAGCTTGGCTGGGACAGCACCTTATGCTCTGCCATATGGGAGAGCAGGTATCTTACAGCACTTCCCACAGGAAGAGTACAGCAGGCAGGCAGGCAATACTTACATTGTAGAAACCAAAGGAAACCACCGGGATTCCCGAGTAGGTCAGGAAAGGGAACGCTGCGTTATCCAGACCAAGTGGAACACTGCAAAAGACAAGTATTGAGTAGTTACTAACTGGTTTGGACATCCCAGGAGAAAAGCTACGAGCCCTAGAGATGAAGCTCTGAGACAAATGGACTACCCTGTCTAGACAAGACTGGTTTTGGCCAGGAGTCCCAGCCAAGGGCCGAGATTTACTTGGCCATTTAGGGCCACCAGCCTTTGTACAAGGCTGTTCTTGCCCAACAAAAAGGTGCCTGGGCTGCCTACAGGCAGCTTGGGGCAGCACCAAGCACAATTCATGTTGTACTGTTCATGCTTGCCTGATGCCAGGCAGCGGTACAACACTCCAGCACAAAGAGCAGAAGCCCTTTAGTTTGCTCCTTTATGGAGATTTTGCTTTCCCAAAGAGCAGGATGACAATACTTACACTGTTTTTACCCAGTCAGAGCCAACTCTGTCATACAGGGTTTCCAAATTCTTTGCTGGGTCCTTCACCTGCACAGAGACGACAGTCACTGCACTCGTTCTGATCTCTGCTTGGGCTTCCAGGTCCATCCTGGAGCTTGCATTGCTGTGCAGATGCCAGAGTCAGGTGTGCTGCCCTGACCTTTCTCCACACGACAGGCATTCAGCTCACACTGAACTGTGGCATTTGCTGATTTTAGATTCTGCATGCATAAACTGCAATTCCCAGAGCCCAGCTGACTTCAGACAAGGCCCTCCGGAGTATCTCAGCCCTTTCTCTTAAACTAGGCTTTCTCCTCAGAAGGTGCCAGGTGGGCAAAGTGACATAGTACAGCTCTGGCTGCTTTCAGTTCCTCCTTAAAAAGTCACCTTGATTAGCCCAAGACCCTTCAACTCACCCCCTTCATAGTTCTCTCCAGCAAGGTGTACAGCAACGGGCTGGCAGAAATCTTCAGGTGGCTGGAGCCTGCAAAAAAGAAAGGGTGTCTGACATGCTGGCACAATTAACAGCTACTGCTAGAGCAGCTCAGGCCTGTGACTGAGCAACAACTGATCTACAACTTGTTGCCAAAGGATCCTTGACAGACCCAAGACACTCTACTGGGACCTAGCAGAGCTGCCTACACGCTCAGGCTGCAGCAACCTCCCAGCTTCAACGACAACAGAATAATGGAGTCACACCAGTCTTCAGCCAAACACCCAGCATCAATCTCTGCCACAGTCCCCATTCCTGGAGTTTAAGGGATGTCTCTCAAGCTTTTCTGGTCCCACTCAGTTTCAAGAAACTTAAGAGTAGAATAGCAAGTTACCTACAACTGCAGCATCCAAGTTAATGTAAGTGAAGACTTTGGCATGCAGTGTGGCAGAGTATCCCTAGAAAAAAAACAACAAGTATTTTAAGATGAGCAGTACAACACCAGAATGTTTAATCCGTAGCAAAGGGAAATGACAGCCAGAGTCATCACACAGAAATCTATCAAAGCAACAGTACCTCCAGCCATTCAGTAGCACCCACAGTTCCGTACTCTCCTGCACTCCAGCTGGCAAAGATGATGCTGCGCCTTGGTTTGTAGCCACCTGCAAAGAGAGAGACACTGAGATGTCTGCCCTTCCCCCATGGAGATGTAAATTAGCACTGAGGACCTGGGTTGATGAATTGCCTGTTCCTTGGACAGAGCTGAAGCATTCTGGCTGCTGCAAACGTGCACACTAGTGGCTGCACAGACACTGCACCCTGCCTCCCCCACGCTGCAGAGCTGCGTAGAAAAGCCATGCTATCTGCATCTCCCTCTTTTTTTATTCAGCTGAGCCTAAAGTTGACCCCAGAGACAAAAGCACTCACACCAAGTGTCACCATGCAGCCCCCACCACTCCAGCTGGTCAGCTTCTTCACTGTTTTCCTACTTTCAGGCCTGGCTGTCCAATAGACAGCTCAAGTTTGAGGTCTGCATTGCATGTTATTTAAGGACATTCCTGCATTTAAGCCATACCAGATACAAGCAGGCAGTCCCTTGGAAGCAAGTGCTCACTGCAGACAAGCTGTCTACGTTGGACAAGTAATAGCATCTCAGGAAGCTTTTTCAGATTCCCTATGCCTTCCTAAATGATTATTTTGCAACTGGGCTCTCCGACATTAACACACACAGAGCTAAACCCGCATTACCCCCCATCCCCATGCTTTTGCACACAAATACTTACCGTTTTTCACCATGTCCGAGATCACACGGGCAAGTTCCAACAACATGGCAGTTCCAACGCCAGCCTTGGCCGCTCCTGGGCCCCAGGAGTCTCTTTGGGCTCCAATCACAACATATCGATCTACAAAGGAGACATCGAGATCTAAGCTGCAAGCTTCAGGTTGCAAACACCATTTATTAGAAAAGCAGCTTTGAGCTTCCATACTAGGACCAGAGTATGGAGTCTGACCCCTGAATCTGGCACCCTGTTTGCTTTCATTTAGCCTTCCTCTGGCAGCACAGTTCAGCTTTTTCCTTGACCCTTCAGGAAGGGTCTTGGTTCTGCTGAGGAAGTGGTTGTGTCTGTCTGGGAGCAGCTATCACATTCTGATGACCACAGAACAGGAAGGGTTCTCCTCAAGACTGAGCCACGAGGCAGCTGCTGTTACCTGGTTCTTCAAATCCCTTGATAGCACCAAAGATGTTCAGAATCTTCCTGTCCACCATAGCGTTGTTCACGGTCAGTTTCACTGTCATCTTGCTCGTGCTGTTCAGCATCACCTTACATCCCATGATGCCACCTTTCCACTCCAGAATGCATTCCTCTCCATGCATTTTACTGAGGGGGGAAAAAGAGATCCTTTGAACTCATTATCCAGCTCTGACCTCATTCAGCTATTCAGTGAAAAAAGCAAGCCTGCAACTGAAGCCTTGTTCAGGGCATGCTCAGAAAACAGCTTGCAGACCTGTCCTACTGATTATGCAGGAAGAAGTAGGCTACAGAGGCCAAAAGGAATCCAACACTAGATTAAGATTAGTCTTTAAGACATGAGATATGGACACAAGTCTCATTTCACCAGCCAGCTCCAGTAAGCTCCCTGCGATACACAGCAGAGACCAGCAGAGAGCTCCCTGGGCTCACAGCACCTCAACACCATCCGCAGCCTAGCCTGCAAGCCAGGAGAAGCAGTTACCTGAACAGCTTGCCTACTGCTTTGCTAGAGATAGTCTGAACAGCAATGCGAGGTAGTCCAGAAGATGCCACTGGTGGGAACTGGGTGTGGTTGAAAGAAGGAAAGCCTGGGGTGAAGGGGTCTCCAGTTCCCAGGTGGGCCTGTGAAAAGCAAGAAGAATCTTCAAGTCTCAAAGGAGTCCAACAGTTTTCATCTACACGAGGGCAGGAAGCATTGCTCAGCCAGAGGCCTGCAGAAAGACTGCTGCAGCCTGCAGTCCACAGTGAGGAAAGTTCTAGAGCATACTCACATGGCCAAAGGGGACAAGCGTATCTGTGTTCTCGTAATCGGAGGGGTCCAGGTACATCAGGGCACCAACTGCTCCGGCTGCTTGGGCATTTGCAACCTGAAGCAAAGAACATTAATTACACATTTGTTCTGCAAGAAAGGCGAGTCAAGGCAAGTATATGTAATGGTGCGAAGGGTTTCACCCCTGCAAGAGGGCCACAGCAGCCTAGCCTGCAAGCCAGGAGAAGCAGTTACCTGAACAGCTTGCCTACTGCTTTGCTAGAGATAGTCTGAACAGCAATGCGAGGTAGTCCAGAAGATGCCACTGGTGGGAACTGGGTGTGGTTGAAAGAAGGAAAGCCTGGGGTGAAGGGGTCTCCAGTTCCCAGGTGGGCCTGTGAAAAGCAAGAAGAATCTTCAAGTCTCAAAGGAGTCCAACAGTTTTCATCTACACGAGGGCAGGAAGCATTGCTCAGCCAGAGGCCTGCAGAAAGACTGCTGCAGCCTGCAGTCCACAGTGAGGAAGGTTCTAGAGCACAAAGAGGGGAGCCAGTCGCATACTCACATGGCCAAAGGGGACAAGCGTATCTGTGTTCTCGTAATCGGAGGGGTCCAGGTACATCAGGGCACCAACTGCTCCGGCTGCTTGGGCATTTGCAACCTGAAGCAAAGAACATTAATTACACATTTGTTCTGCAAGAAAGGCGAGTCAAGGCAAGTATATGTAATGGTGCGAAGGGTTGTGCCCCTCAATGCCCAACTCCAGAACAGATTTTTGACAGCTACCCGACAGTGACAGATACACAAAGATGCTGAATACTAACAGATCAGTCCTACTCCAGGCAAAGCGCATGTGGGACTCTACAACTGGAACTTTGCCTCAAACCCTGCCCGTGCGCTGTTTGCCCCAGGAACTGCCTGCCAGGGGTGTGTGGGGTGGAGGGTCAGTTTTTGGTGCCACGTAGGTGGGGCTGTATCAGGAACAGTGTGGTGAGTAGGACAAAGGAAGTGATTGCCCCCCTGTATTTGGCACTAGTGAGGCCCCACCACTTTGTCCAGTTTTGGGTCCCTCACTACAAGAAAGACAGAGAAGGGCAATGAAGCTGGTGAGGGGTCTGGAGCA